CTCTACAAATTGTGTCTGAAGAGAATGCAAAAGGTCCTCCTGCCCGTGTGCAAAATAGAAACCGGGGTCTGCAGGCTCAGCTCCGGCCTCCTGCTCCACTGCAGGTGCTCTGGCATGTCCTCACGGGATGCCGGGCTCTGGGGAGACAGGGGCCTGTGAGGGACGAGGCTGGAATGGGGGTTTCCTCTGGCTCCCCCTGCCACTCAGCCTCACTCAACCTACCAGATCAGGAGGCTGCTGGCAGTGGTGGCAGCGGCAGCCAGGGCCAGAGTGACAGGGACACCGATCAAGAAAGGCGCCGAGGGTCCTCCACCGCTGCCCAGCTCCCCGGGGTCACAGATCTTCGTGGTGGGCGGGGGTGCCAGTGAGCTGGTGGTGCTGGTCGTGGTCTCTGGGGAACATGGAGGATACTCAGGGCGGGACCAGGGCTGGGGTCTCTCCCAGATCTGGGCATTCCTGAGGCACACTGTTGCTGCTTCCTACCTCACACTGGTGCTGCCTCCACCATCGGATAGGCTCTTTCCCCTCTCTCAAACGCCCCCTGACAACCCCATCAGGCAGATCCTGCCTCCCAAGGCTCCTAGATGACCCCTCCACCCAATGACCTCTACCAAGGATGTCCAGATAGCAAGGACCATGAATGGCAGGAGTCAGACAGGCAGACAGAAGTGTGGCAGCCAGAGTGTGGAGGCCGTGGAGAGCAGGGTCTCCCGGTCCTGAGAGGAGTTGGAGGGAGCAGGGTGGAGTCAGCAACAGGGCAGGCCAACTGAGAGCACAGGATGCAGAGCAGAGGGTGGGCTCACCCGTGGCCTGGGCCTCCGTGGTGAGGTGTCGTGGTTCCTCCGTCCAGGGTGTGGCGTGGGCGGCCACACTCCAGTCGCTCCATGTCCCAATCTCATTGTCCTTGGCTGCCACCTGGATGATGTACTCCTTCCCGGCGTAGGCATCCGTGATGGTGTGTGCTGTGCCATCTGACAATTCCACCTGCAGCCAGACCATCGGATGGGGGGGTTAAGGACACCCCTGGGGGCTGGAAGAGGGGGGCACTCCCCAGAGGAAGTGAGAACATCTCTCTGGAGAGAGAATAGGGAAGGCACCCTGCAGGGAGTGAGGACTTCCCTGGGGGAGAGAGGGAACATTGAGAATATTCCTGTGGGAGAGTGAAGACATCTTAGGGAGGAGATCCCAAGGGAGGGCAGTGGTCCCTGAAGGGGAGTCATGAAATCTTTAAGGAGGCTAGAAACACCTCCAGGAGAAAATACGAGTGACTTTGCTCAGCATCTGGGACTCTGCCGTTGTCCGAGCTCTCCCACAGTCCCAATCTGAGTCCTGACCTCAGTCCTAGTCTAGAGGTGACAAGAGTAATGGGCTGAGTGGAGATAGTGGGATGCTGCCCTCGTCTCCCATCAAGAAGCACACTGTTGCTGCTTCCTACCTCAGCCTGGTGCTGCCTCCACCATCGGATAGGCTCTATCTCCTCTCTCAAACACACCCTGCCAACCCCATCAGGCAGATCCTGCCTCCCAAGGGGCCGGGTACAGTGGCTCATGCCTATAACCCCAGCACTTTGGGAGGCCAAGACAGGAAGCTTGCTTGAGCCCAGGCGTTCAAGACCAGCCTGGGTCACATAGCGAGACTGTCTCTCTAAAAAAAAATATTAGCTGGGTGTGGAGGTGTCTGCCTGTAGTCCCAGCTGAGGCTGGGAGGCTGAGGTGGGAGGCTGAGGGGGTGGATCGCTTGAGCCCAGGACGTTGAGGCTTTGGTGAGTTGGGATTGTACCACTGCCTGGGTGACAGAGTGAGACCCTGACTCAAAAAAAAAAAGCAGTTTGGATGGAGAGGTTACACACGCTGACAGGAGCTAGGCTGCTTGAGTTCAAAGCCTGACTCCGTCCCTTATTAGCTGAGTGACCAAGTTATTTAGCTTCTACGTGCCTTGCCATCCTCACTTGTAAATGGTGTTAATGGTAGCATCTGTCTCTTAGGGTTACAATTAGTACTAAGGTCTGTGGAAAGCACCAAATACTTCCATCACCACTGTCGTTATCATGAGTTTCCATTCAGAGCCTGGGTTCTCAGATGCCCTGTGCACCCACCAGCTGAGCCCCAGCTGGGCCTCCCCTCAGGAAGGCCTCAGTGTGGTTATCACCCTGCCTGAGACAGAAAGGGTTGGGGGGCTGTGGGAGGCAGGACAGCTGCTCCATTTCCTTCTGGAGGCATCGCCATCCCCCTGCCAAACCCTGGCTGGTCCCTCCATCCTACTGGTCTCCCCCCAACCCTCCAGGCCAGTCTGCCTGTCCGGCGCCCCTCCCAGGCCCAGGCTGGGCTCTGGTTCATCTCAGCGGCACCCGCCGCCTCATTAAGCCGCCTCGTAAACAGGGGCAGCCGGCGGGGGCGGAGGAGGGGGCCCGCTCTGGGCCACGTCTGGCTTCAGGGCTTGTTTTGGTCCCTGTTCCAATCCCCCCCACCAGAAAACTGGGGTCTGGGCTACCTGACCCAGTAGGCTGTAAGCACATGCGTGTGTGTGTCTGTGTATTCGTGTGAGTGCATTGGGTCCAAGAGGAGCAGGAGCCACACCTCCAATTCCTGCTGAGTGTGGCCCTGAGGTAGGAGGCACTGGCAAAGGTGAGGATGACTGTGAGACATATTTCTGGTCCAGACCCTGGGTTCGGTCCACCCTACTCTCAGTCCTAGAAGATCAGTGGGCTCCAAAGACCCTCTCCCAGAGTGGGGGCCCCAGTACCACCTATGACCCCCCTTCAGCTCTGCAAAGATCCCTTCTTGCTGAGTTGCCCCAGCTTTTCCAGCTCCTTTTCCCTCCTGCCAGGATTAGGCCTGCAAACCTCCACACGTCTTTCTCCAAAGGGAGAGAGCCACGGGGAGCAGATGAGATGCCACCTCACTGGTGGGCTCACGGAGGCCACCATACCTCTAGGAATGTGGCCGGGAGCCACATCTCCTAGGCTTGTGCCTTTCTTCTTGCTAGGTTACCACTGATCCCTTAATCCATCCCCTTAAGAGAAGGGCTCCTCGGTTGGCAGGAACTCTCTGATCACTGGCATCCACCTCGCCAGGAGTCCTCCATGGTCTGCTGCAGATGTCAGACATGCCCTTCGGCCCTCCTCGTGGAGTTAGGGCCAGAGCAGGAGCTGCAGGGAACCCAGGCTGGGTCTCAGTACTTGCCTCCCTCCTGTCCATGCTGAGACAGCACCTGCTAGACCTCCTGGTGCCCATCTTTTTGCAATTCCTGATCTGTATCTTCCTCTTGAAAATCCAAGCGACATTCTTCTCTGCTCTCCTTCCCCTCCCCTTCCCAATCATACACCTGCCTTTCCCAGGATCAAGGATGGGAAAGAGGAGATTCTGTTCAGAGCAAGACTTATGTTGAAAAGAGCCTTACATCTAGCCAACGCCCATGTCAATGAGACATGGAATGGGGCTAGGAAGTGCCACAGGCCACGCATGTTCTTGCCATGGAGCCTGCACACTTTGCTCTGCCCATGTCAGTGTGGGGGTCAGTTCTGTCCACAGCGCAGGCCAGTGCGTGATCCTGTCATGGTAGCCACATGTATGTACAGAGCATGGTTCCTGCTGTGAGCCGTGTGTGTGTGTGTGTGTGTGTGTATATGTTCCCGTGTGTGTGGTGGGCGGTGTGCCAGGTCCACTGCAAGGCGTGTGCGCTGCGATGTGCGGGCTGCTGCCTGTAGCTCGTTAGCGGGGGAGGGGGGCTTGTGAAACTAGACCCTGGTTATTAGCAATGCATTAGGCACGGGCAGCTGGCCAGGCGGGAGGGACTCCGGACTCTGTTAGGGAACATGTGAACGAGTGAGCAGTCTTTGTGGGGGCCAGGCCCACAACCTGGACAGACACCCAGGAATCGAATTACGTACTTTAAAGGCCAGATGGGAGCAGGGCATGAGGAGATGGAGCTGGAGCCTGGTGGATGTGCTGGAGATACAAGTTGACCCCCGGGAGCCAGTTTGAGTTGCCCTGTGGACTGTCCCAGTCCTAGTCCCAGCCCACAGGTCTCATGGGCCACACAGAGTGCCCACAACCCTATGGGCCCAGGGATCTCAATGTGACAGAACCCCAAGTCTGCCCTCAGCCTCTGGCTGCTCCCCAGAGCTCTCTGTAGTACCTTGATCCAGACCACAATCTGACCCCACACTGACCCTTGTCCACTGCTTGGTTCCCAGCCCAGGCCACCTCCTGACCCATAACCTTAAGCTGACCCCTAAGCTAGGTCTGACTTTGGAGCCTGATGCTAGTTGTGGCCTAAACACACACCCCAGACTGATCCTGACCCCTTAAGCCCATTTATGAGTCCTTGAGGATGGGAACTTTCCTGCCTGTTGGGTACAGCACAGGCCAGAGTGTAAGAGATGCCTGTCAGGGGTGAAGGCCAGAGACAAGGAAAGGGAACACTGCCCACCCTGCCTGCCGTCCCCCTCCCAGCATTTCTCTCCACTACCCTGGAGAGCCACAAAGACAGATGCATTCCCACTGTACTGCTGGGGTTTAGTGGGAACCCCTAAGGATACCTCCGTCAGCTCCAGCCATTCTCCCAGCCCCACTGGGTCCCTTCTCCCCCTGGAAAGCCTCTCTGACTGCCCCCAGGTCTCAAATCAGAGCCGTGTCCACCTGAGATGAGATGGGTGCCTCTCACATTGTGTGGTTCTGATCCAGGCACTAGCATCTGGGCGGGGCAGGGCACTCACATGCTGCCACTGGTCCAGGATGAGGGGTCGGTAGCGCAGAAAGAACTTGAGAGGAAAGGACTCAGGGTCAGGCCAGGTCGAGGGGGTCTGCCACGTCACCACCAGCCGGTGAGGGTTGCTGGGCACTGGCCGGGCTATCACATTTTCTGGAGGGTCAGGCTTCACTGTTCAGGAGACACAGCTTCATTACAACACTAATCCTCGGAACAACCCCACTCTGTCAACCCCAGCCACCATGGTGACCTTCTCATATTGCCAACCATGGTCATCATCATCATGGTCACCACGCCTCTTCTTGTTGTCAGTTCTGGCAACCGCTGTGGACAATCATCTCATTACTTCCACCCCTGACACCCTTATCATCACCAATGACTGTCATCACGACAGTCGCTACACTCTTGCTATCAACAACCCCAACTTCATCTCATCATCCCCTTATCCTAACCCCATCATCATGTCGACCAGCATCCCAGTAACTAAGCCTATGCAGTGCCGGCCCCGTGACGCTGCCTCCCCCTTTGTCACCACCCCCTCCTGCACCGGCATCACACTCCTCCAAGCCTGGTTTTTCACCTCAACTTTCCCACTTTCAAAATAAGCCCTGGGTCAAGGTTAAAAGACAGTCCACAGGTGCTGCAGACCTGTTGGACATAGGCTGGGGTCTGATGGGAGCATCCCAGGGCCCAGCTCGTGTAGAAAAGTTGGGCTGGGGAATTCGGCCATGGGGTATGGGAGGAAGACAGGGATAGGCAGAGGGTCTGGCTGGGATGGGGTTGTAGCAGGCAGAGAGCCTGCCTGAAATAGGGCAGGGGCAGGCAGAGGGTCTGCCTGGGATGGGGGGTCGGGGGGGTGCGGTATCTGTCCCAGTCCTGTCTCCTGTTCTGACACCCCATTCATCACAGGCCGTAAGGAAGCCATTAGCGTGGGGGTGGGGGGTGTGCGTGGAGGCTGCAGCTGCACAAGGGTCTGGCCCAGCCTGCCGCCCCTTCCCCCTGCTGCATGCTCTGGGAGCCAGGGAGATGGTGGGAAGCGCTGCTGGAGAGGTCCCTTGTCCCTGCAGGTAAAGGGCATCCACTTACATGGTCACAGGTCATGTACACACACCACAGATGCTGGTTCACGGGCATGTACATACCATGTACACATGTGCACGCATGTGAACGTCCCCACCAATGTTCACATACACCTCTAACATGCGTCCACTTACATCCGCCCACTGGAGTATGCAGCAGGCACCCCCCCACCACCGCCACACGCACCAATAGTGAACTCATCGAAGGTGATAGCCGTGGCGTTGTGGCCCAGGGCATTGCTGACAGTGATGGAGACCTTGTACTTGATGGTGGAGAACAGGTGCATGTAGCGGATGTGGCAGCGGTTCTTGAGGGCAGGGTCCTTCTCACAGACCATAATTTTGGAGCCATGCCTGGGGAGGGGTGAGGCCCAGGTACCGTTACCAACATCAAGGGTCAGGTGGGGCAGAGGTTGGGAGAAGGTCAAGCCCAAGGCAGGGCTGGGGTCTGGACTGAGGGCATGGTGGGGTAGGACGGGGGAGCAGTCAGAGGCCAGGGCCAGAACGGGATCACAGGCGCAGCTACTCACAGCACGGTCACGTTGAAGGTGTTGGGAATGTAGGTGGGGGTGGGAAGATGCCAGCTGCAGTAGAAGCCCTTGGGGTAAGTGTTGGAGCGGCAGCTGAGCACGGGCTCCCGTGGCGGCACTGGGGGCGAAGATAGCATGGTCAGCATTGTCGGGCTTTTGTGGAACCCCCGGTCCCCTGCACTAGTGTGGGGACAGGTGGGCCCCAGAGTCCCAGCTCTCCCGCCTCAGCCCATCATCGATGCCAAAGGTGGGGGGGCGGGCTGTCAGCGAGGGTCTGAGGCTTCCCAGGCCACAGAGAGCCAGATGTTTAATTAAAGAAAAACAAGGCCTGTGCAGAGAGGGAGCCCCCACCTGCTCAATGGAGGCAGGAACTGTGGGGAGCAGGGGGCTGTGGGCCTCAGCTCATCAATCACGGGATGGAGGTGATGTCTGGGGGAATCGGCCCCAGCCCCCCATCTCCTGCCACATCGTGTCCACTTCCAGAGTTGTGCAATAGAGACCAAGGGGAGTCTTTTTTTTTTTATTTTAAGAAGCAGGGTCTCACTCTGTCACCCAGGCTGGAGTGCAGTGGAGCAAAATCATAGCTCACTGCAGCCTTGACCTCCTGCGCTCAAGGAATCCTCTCGCCTCAGCCTCCTGAGTACCTGGGACTACAGGTGCGTGCCATCATGCCCGGATAATTTTTAAACATTTTTTTTGTAGAGATGAGGGTCTTGCTTTCTTGCCCACGCTGGTCTTGAACTCCTGGCCTCAAGTGATCCTCCCACCTTGGTCTCCTAAAGTGCTGGGATCTCAGGCATGAGCCCCCACTCCCAGCCCAGGAGTCTTGAATGGGTCCTCTGCTTGGTGAGGTGAACCAGGTGCACTTCCTGGAGAAGAGACACCCCAGGGTCCCCTCTCTCAGTAGAGACTGAGAGGTGTGAGGACAGGCCTGGCGGCTACACAGGAACAACAACATTGGGTGGCTGTCTGTGTATGTATGTGTGTGTGTAGGCGTCTGAGTGCATGGGTATATATGTTACACGCATGTCTGTGACAAGAATGGCCAGCGATACATAGGAGCATCTATGTGGATATGTGTGAATCTGTGCTTGTTTCTCAGAGTGTGTCTACATATGATCGTGTATGTGTACAAGTGCCTACTGAAATGAAGTTGCTGTTTCCTTTGTGTGTACCTCACCTCAGTCCTAGCCCCCAGATTCTCCATCACAGACTCTTTAAGAAGCCCTGTACACGGTTAGCAGCTGCCTCCACTCTGGAATAGGAAAGAAGGCTCAGAGAGGGATAGGGACCTGCCTGAGGTCACACAGCAAGCCAGAACTGGGACTAAATCCCAGGATGGAATTACCCACCTATACAACTACACACACACTTGGGAAGTCCTTTCCGCTGTCTAACCACACTCTTTTTGCTGCCGTGAGCACTTAGCCCAGCTGTCCTACCCTTGGGCGTTGGGTAAGGCGTGAGGACAGGCAGCTCAGGTTCCTGGAAGGAGGCAGCTTCTGTGATCTGACCCAGGCAAGGAATGTCCGTCTGTGGCTCCAGGGACACTGACACCTCCCTCCTGTGCCTCCCCCCACCCCCCCACCCCCTGCCTGACAGGTGGACAGGAAATGGGAGGGGGCAGCTCCATAAGCCAGGGACAGTGAAGGGGAGTGCTTGTCTATGCTTGTAGAGTGGCCATGGTGACCCGGGGGAACTGTGGGCTTCCATCCACAGCGTGCATGTGACTGAGTGTGTGATTGTGTGTGCACGTCTAGCATGTGTGAAGCTGGGAGGGGGCCGGGGCAGAACCCCCAGGACCCAGATCTGACTTTGCCACAGCAGGTGTGAGGAGGCAGAGAGGCATCAGAACTCTGGTGCAGCAGGTGGTGTGGGCAATGCTGTGGGAGGAGGCAGCTCCACTCCCCAGGCCTGCAGGGGAGAGCCAGGGCCCAGCAGAGACCCCACGGGGGGCAGAGACCCCACAGGGGGCAACCTGCATTGTGCCCGCCGCTGTCTGCCTCCTCCAGGAAGTCTTCCTGGACCTATGTCCATCTTGGGCCTGCTCTTTGTTCTTCCTGTGTGCCTTTAGTGTACCTTCCCTATTTGCCCACGGGTGTAGAACTTTGCACGGGGGTGGAGTGGGGGGCGGCCAAGGACACAGGAAGTGCCTTCTGGGGGCCTGCTGGCCAGGCCAGAATTGGCAGCCACCCCAGGAGGAAAGGACATTCTGAGGTCAGCCGAGAAGTCTCCACTCCCGCCTCCTGCCAACCCCTGCTTACCCCCAGCTTCAAAGGGGAAGGGC